TGGAGATTCGTTCCATATTCAGAGCAGGAGCGAAGCTTCATTTCTTGCTGGATCTCCCGACCGTTTCTTCCGGCCATTGGTTCTCCGCGCACCTCGGTCTGTTGGGGAGATGCTTGACTTCCTCTCAGCCCCAAGACACTGGCTGTCCCATGAGAGAGAAAGAGAGAGAGAGAGAGAATGAGACTGAGAATGAGACAGAGAGAAAGAGAGAGAAAGAAAGAAAGAGACAAAGGGAATCAGGGAGAATGAGAGAGAATGAGTGGGAGGGAGAGAAAGCAAGAGGGAGAGAGTGAAAGAGAAAGAGAGAATGAGAGAGAGAATGAGAGAGAGAGAGAAAGAAAGGGAATCAGAATGACTGGGAGAGAAAGTGAGAGTGGGAGAGAGAAAGAGAGAGAAAGAGTGGGAGAGAGAGAGAGAGAGAGTGCCTGAAGGACCCCATCCTGTCACTGGGAGTCCAGGCGCTTCAGCAAGCATCGCGCTGGATTCGTATTAGTGGTCCATGGGACTTAAAATAATGACCTTGGTGGTCCCTGAGGCCCAAAAGGTTGGGGACCCTTGATCTACAATACATTCCAACAAAATAGATACCCACACAACTTCATCAAAAAGTCATTGACCACTCAACCCAATACAGCACAAGCAACACAAACCCTAAAAGAATTGCACGCACTGATTCCATGTTGTTGTAGTAGTCTGTTGATAGTTTCTGAGATATTCTTGATGAATCAGTGCAGCACACAAGCCAACTAAAACCCTTCAAAACATCCTAAACAAACCAAAAGACCCAGCAACCCCAGAAGAAAAAACAGGAGTCATCTACAACATACAATGTAAGAACCAACTAAAGTTTCAATTGGGAAAATATGACAATCCTAGACCAGGCCAAGTTCAAAAATGCCAGGGAATTTCTAGAAGCCTGGCATTCTGATAAATTAACAATAGACACATAGATATTAACAACATCTATAGACTATGCAAAAGAGACAATCAACCAACCCAAAAGAGAACAAAAAGACACTAGAATCTCTCCACCAGTAATCAGCCCCAGATCAGCATACATTATCTCCAAGGTAACTTCGGACCAACAATGAATAAGCCAGGATTGTCAAACTCAAGACCCGCCAGCCGGATCTGGCCCGCGGGATGCTTAAATCTGGCCCATGAGCCCAGCCTAAAAATAGCAAAGGACTGGCCCGCAGTGCCTTTGGCAACCAAAATGGGGTATGGGACAGTGATGAAATTTGAACCGGTTTACTACTGGTTCGCTGGTTGCGCATGCGCAGTGCGCACCACGCACGCCAAAAGGAGAATGTGATAAGTAGAACGCGCATGGGGGTGATCAGCTGTGGTGTGCATTTTTTTTTTTTTTTTACTTTTAAAAGCATTTTTTTACAATCTATTTGGCAGAATAGGTTGTAAAAAAATGCTTTTAAAAGTAAAAAAAAGAGGCTCTGACAATCAGGCAACTCAACTGGGATCTTCAGAGCCTCTTTTTTACCTTTTAAAAGCATTTTTTTTACAACCTATTGGGCCGAATAGGTTGTTAAAAAAATGGTTTTAAAAGTAAAAAAAAAAGGCTTTGACGATCAGGCAGCTCAGCTGGGATCTTCAGAGCCTTTTTTTACCTTTTAAAAGCATTTTTTTACAACCTATTTGGCTGAATAGGTTGTAAAAAATGCTTTTAAAAGAAAAAAAGGCTCTGACGATCAGGCATTTTTTAAAAGAAGCGGCAAGTGGGCGACCGGGCAATTGGGTGGGCATGGGCGGGAGGGCAGGGATTTTTGCTACTGGTTCTCCGAACCACCTGCCACCATTGCTACCGGATCGGCTGATCCGGTCCAAACCAGGAACATTTCACCCCTGGGTGCATGTGCATCCCCCCCCCCCCCATTTTCAGCCTGGACAGCTTCCTGGAGCACCCTGCCAGCCAAAATGGGGCACGGGAAGTCACACGCCCCCCTGTGCCCCGTTTGGCTGGCAGGGTGTTGCAGGAGGCCATCCAGGTCCATGCCCCCCCATACCCCATTTTGGCCAATAGGGTGCTGCAGGACGTGTCCATCCCATTTGTCCCCCTTGGCCGGCCCATGGAGGAGAACTACAATGCTGATCCGGCCCTTGAAGAAATCCAGTTTGACACCCCTGAAGTAAGCAATACCCCAGTCAAGAAACTGTCAAAGAGCCATCAGCCCAACCAAAAAATCTTTAAGACCGCCCCCATCCACACAGATGACCAAGTCACCATCATATAAATTGACAGCAAACAAGCACTCCTTGCTAGCACTGATGAGGTTACCAAATCGGGGTAATGAAACTCCTAAGACAACAAACAAGCTCAGAGAGCACCAAGGACCCCTTAGTTTAAAATCTGGTAGTCCAAGTCTTCCTCTTTCCTTTGTATCTTGTACAAGTCTTCTGATAATTTTGTTTGTTTATTTATTCATGTCCTGCCTTTATTATTTTTACAAATAAGGCGATAATTCACACGAGTCCAGAGGAAAAATTAAGTTGTATTACAGGTAACATTTAGTGACCACAATTAATCACTAAGCAAAGCAGTTACTAGATAGAAAATCACACAACTTCAACTGTGGTTTTGGTTGCCTCCTAACATCTCTTTGGAATGCTCATCCAACTGCTGGATAGTTAACAAAAATGGTATTTACATTTATTGGAGAGAAAGGAATAAGAAGAGAGTAATCACATTGAAAGCAGTGCTCTAGTGCCCGCAGCTGCTCTTCTAATCACTTTATCTCTAATAAGTCTATTGGGACTGCCGTTGGCACATGGAAGGAAGATAGGGCAGGGAGGTGCCAAGGACAGGCATTGACAGGAGCAGAGACATAGGGTGTTTTGGTTTGCAGACTAGGATAGTGGTGGTTTGTTTGGCTGGAAAGGGATTTGTGTGGGAAGAAAGGGGGTTTCCAGGTATGCATATTGCAAGGAGTGCATCCAGTGGTGAAATCTGAACCAGTTTACTACCGGTTCACTGGCTGCGCATGCGCAGTGCGCACCACGCACCAAATGCGAGGTGTGCCCGTGCAGTGCATGCCAAAAGGCATGGGGTAGTAGAACAGTCTGCGGGGTGGGGGGGATTAGCTTTGCCGTGCAGTCTTTTTTTTAACTTTTAAAAGCATTTTTTTTACAACCTATTCAGACGAATAGGTTGTGAAAAAAATGCTTTTAAAAGTAAAAAAAAAAAAAAGGCTCTGATGATCCTGCAGCTCAGCTGGGAGCAAACAGGCGAGCGGGCGATTGGGTGTGCATGGGCGGGGGTATAGGGATTTTTGCTACCAGTTCTCCGAACCACCTGCCACTATCGCTACTGGATCAGCCGATCTGGTCCAAACCGGGAGCATTTCACCTTTGAGTGCATCTCTAGTCCAATATGAGCACTGGAAAATGGGAAGAAGCAGTGAAGGATAGAGCTTCCCCAAAGACCCTCTTGCATGTAGCCCGAACTCAAGCAGAGTGGCAAGGCTGTCTGGAACATTTATTCCTGCTTGACAACAGGCGTCTGCTTCAAAAATACACCCAACAGCTTCTGCATGTTTCCTCTTGAATGGTCTATGATCTAAAAGGACCCAAAATCCAATGGCAATGAGCAGAGTAAAAGGTGGTTCTGCAGCCACTGATCAAGCCGCGCTCCCTTTGCCATACCCTATTTTTAGTCAAACTTTTCCTCACAGTGAAACATAAGAACTCCCTCTTTTTGTTAAGGCCAGTTAACTTTGTCAGTCTGCCGTGGCATAATATCATCCCTTCAGCGTGACTGCTGTGTCTCACGTCAAACTGTAGATTACATCATGACTGGCTGTATCTGAAGACATATATTGCTCCAGTATGTGATTTTTTAAATATAAACAATGCTGTGCTTCAGTGGTTAGATGGCCTAGACCAGTGATAGCTAACCTTTTTGCTGTCACATGCCACGAGCATGGGGAGCATGGGGGGGGGGGTTGTGCACCATGTGCCCACACCCATAATTCAATGCTCTGCCCCGCCCCCTCACACATGCACACGCAAACCCTTGCCGACCCCCACTTTTGGCACACGATGGCACGGTGGGCCTGGTAGGCCTGTTTTTCACCCTCCCCAGGCTCCAGAGGCTTTCTAGGAGCCTAGGGAGGGTGAAAACAGCCTTCCCCACCCCCACGGAGGTCCTCTGGAGGCCGAAAACAGCCTGTTTCCCGGCTTCCGGTAGGCCCAGAAGGCCTGAAAATCAGATGACTGGCATGCGCATGAGCACTGGAGCTGAGCTAGACAACACTTGCGTGCCCACAAATATGGCTCCGTGTGCCACCTGTGGCACGCGTGCCATAGGTTCGCCGTCATGGGCCTAGACAGTTGTATTTGAACATAGATCTTTTTTAACATTTATATTTTATTGTGTTCTACTAATCTAGGTGAAATGTTAATATATAATGTTAGTCCATGTATGATAGGCCATACACTAAATAAACTTTCTCATGCAGTTCCTGCACCACCAAAATGGAAAAAGCTGGCTAGAGTCCTAAACTGGCACAGCCTAAACTGGCTGGTCAAATGCCTGTGGTGCCTTCTCTTTGCAAGCATGCAGGGGCAGAGACTCAAGATGCATACAATCTGCAATATAAAACAGGGCTGGAAAGACATCCCTTTGGAGCCTTATACATTCCTAATAATGTTTTGAACAGTAATACAGATCCCTAACCCTATCAGTTCATACGTATTTTAAAAAAAAACATCTTACTAGTAAACATATGCATAATTCGACAGTTGGGTTACATTTAGCTTTCATAAATTATCCATTAATTTCATTGTTTTCTGTCTGTGTTGTCTATGGTTTTAAATCAATCATTTCCTCAATCACAAAAATAGTGTTCTACCTGCAAATTTTAACATACTATACATTAATAGTATTTTTGAGCGTTTGTTAAAGTGTATTAGAAATTGCTAATTTATAATTGGATTTTAATGAAACAGCAGAAGATATTGACATAATATATTTTTACAAATTCTAGGAGGCGAAATTAAGGATGGGTAGAAAGGCTCTGCTAATCTGGTGAGGTGATGGTAAGTGTAAAGGCTGTTTGAATAGCAAGGAATTGATGTGACTTAGTTGTGTAGCTGCTGATTAGATATGTCATTAACATATTGTTAATTTAGGTATGTTATTAGCATGTCTAAATTTTGTCTATATTGATACTATTTTTTCAATCTCTTAGCTGTCAGTTTATTTTACATTATATTCTCTCCATTTGAACATGAATGCAGGAGAAGTAGTAAATTATCACCCCTAGCAGAAAGCAGTCCTGTTAAAAGTCCACCAATTTTTATCCTACTTTTGTCTTAATTGTTCACCACATACATGAAAGATGAAATGTAAAATCTACTACTATAGGTAGACTGATCCATAGTTGTGCTGTGAAGAAATGGTGTTTGGCCATTGGTATGAGGAAGAAATGAATAAAACATTAATAGAGAGTTTCAGAAAAGATTATTCCATGTTGAGATTATTCCATGAGAAACAAACTGAAAATAATCCCATCTTCATTCTGTTAGGTATAAGATGGGACATGGAGAAACAACTTCAGCTGTTCCTAAAGCGTATGTCCTCAAATTCCTATATCATCTTTGTTAACCTGTTCTGAAATTTCTCAAACTTGTAAATATCCATCTGGAAATATGGTGCCCCAGTACATCAGGTGTGGATTCACCAATTCCAAATACAAAGGAATAATAACTTCATGTGCCTTTGATACAATGTTATACTTCTAATGAATCCCCAAACTGGATTAACTCTTTTCTGACAGCTTCTCACACTGCTGGCTTATGTTCATCTTACTGTCAATTCCTTTTATAATGTAGTATTTCCATATCATGATTCCATTTATATATGTGTCCTACATGTTTTTTCCTAAATGTAATACCTTGCATCTTTACTTGTTAAATGACATCTTGATCCTGTCCATCCAGTTTGCCAACTTGTCCAGTTTAGGCTAGTTTGGTTTTGTCATTCTGGAAGTTGGCCAAGTCTCCCAATTTTATCATCCTCAAATCTGATAATGAGCCCATCAGTGTAATTATCCATGTCATTAATAAAAATATTAAATAATATTTACCTCAAGATAGATTGATGTAAAGCAGCAGCTATCTCTCAGAACAGGTAGCTAGCCAATTGGGCTACAACTCATCAGTGAGAATGTTGCATGGATTTTTTTGTCAGAAGATTTGCTGAAATCAAGGTGAATTATATTCACAGTATTCCCTTTGCCTACTGGAATAGTTACCCTGCCAAAGATCATTAGCAATCATTAAAAATTGTTTGTTTGTTTGTTTTTATTTATTTATTTAATGTCCTGCCTTTATTATTTTTTATAAACAATTCAAGGTGCTGAACATATCTAATACTTCTTCCTCCTCCTATTTTCTCTACAAAATAACATTATGAGATGAGTTGGACTTGAGAGAGAGTGATTGGCCCAAGGTCACCAAGGAGACTTTCATGCCTAAAAATCACAGTCTCTGATTTCTAATCTTGTGCTTTAACTATTAGAGCAAATTGGCTGTTTAACTTTTAAAATACATCAAATAATATAGAATATAGAACCTTTTTCTATAGGTTCTAAAGGGATCAATCTTAGTTGATCCCTTTTAAATATTGTGAAAACTATAAGTTGTCAGACCTGGAACCCATCTTTTACGTTTTACATCCAGATGTTGAAGGTTGAAGGATAGGCTCCTGGGCGAAAAGCCTTTTTAATTTTTCAAAGGCTTTTTGGCAGTCCATTGTCCAAGCAAGTGGTTGGTTGGGCTTTCGCTTCATCGGGGAAGACCCCGTTTTCCCCCAAAACGTCAGACCTGAAGGCCCAAACGTGAAAGATGGCTTCCAGGGCTAACACAAGTCATGAAATCTCATGCCTTTTAATAAAATGTGTTAGTTGAAAAAGATGTTAAGAGATTCTTCATATTATTATTATTATTATTATTATTTTGCTTCTTTCTAATACGCAGTAAAGGTCTTCACTAGCTATAAGCCTAACTATAGGGTGGGTTGAAAGTTATTACAAGGGTATTTTTGGAAGAAATAAGGATTAGTTCCAAGGTTAAGATTGAAATTGTGAGCATTTGTCCATATAGTTGTCAGGATTGGAACCTACCTTGATTACACTTAACAAGTAGGTATATTATTTAACCTATTAGAAGGATGCATATTTTCTGTTAGTGATTTGGACAGTCATTCATATTTACTAAATGGAGTGCATAGGTTGTATAAATAATACAGTAGAGAGTTTTATAGGTTTTCACAAATTTGCCTTGCAGTTATAAAGGCTTTCAGAGCAATGATCTGGTTTTCCACTAAGTAGTCTCAGTGATATGCACTTTTCTGGATGGCATTAGCTAAACCATAAACAGATAACTGAGAAAGGTAAATCTGAAAGCAGAGATTCTGAAACCAAAATAAATGCGTAAAAAGAACTTGAATGATAGAAATACATAAAGATTTTCAGCTCTATTATTGATTGCTGTTGGATTAAAACATTCCTGGAATTATCTGCAGAGAATTTAAGGCAAAATTATGATATAGTGAACATTTATTTTCTTCATTTGCCCCAGTTAGACTTATCAGAAAGAAGCATGCTGTCTTCAACATGAGTTCATTTTCCAGAAATTGATTTCATTTAGTATTGTCAACTTCACATTACTTGACCACGTTGTGGCCTAATAGAATCATCTCAATTCCATATAAACTTTAGAATTATATGTCTCACTCATATTCATTTTGCTACAGTAAAAGATGTATTCTGATTTATTTAGTTCTAGGCACTCTTAATTAGGATAAAACTCTATAGATAACCCTCTGGGAACATAAAGGGAAAACAAACAGGATAAAATTATAGTGGACAGATAAATTAAATCTGCTTATTTTTACTTGGATAAAAATTGAGTTTACTAGAGTTTAATTACTCATAAATTGTATATAATTGTATATCCAGTCATTATATCTATTTTAAAATATATATTTGAAGGAAAATTGTAAAACTCAGAAAAATGCTCTTCCCATTGTTTTATGTGAACAGTAAATGTTGATATCCATGTACATGGCAGCTAACTTTTATATGAACATTACTCTTAACATGGCTATGTATTTATATACATACTTGTGCCTAGATAATTTTCTGTAGGTTAACAATATCAAAAGGAAATATAGGAAATACAAAAATAATGCAAAGACGCTTCATTAGCGTGAAGTTAAGGTACGAAGTTAGAACTGGGCACATATTCACACAGAATTTTGCAAGATAAGGACTAGGCTGATTTTGCATTGCTCTGCATTTTTATGATATTCCCATTTGCTACATGACTTAGGTAAATATGTGCCTTTAGGCCCTCATTGGAAACAACTTATAAAGCAGCTGGATGAGACTGAAAAATAAACAATCCATGGTTGCTTTAATGATTTGAAGATGGGAACCCTGGCACAGGACTTTTCATTTCTAGGTTCTTTTTCTTTTTATCAATTTATCCAGCACTTGCTACAATATTCCAAAAATATAATAAAAATCTCTCTTCCACAAACAATGGATCCAAGATGGCACCGCTGAAGGCTGCCTCAGTGAAATGCTCTCTAATGGTTTCTTTATTTTTAATTATTTTCTGCGACTCACTATGGATTTTTTACTCACAAGACCATCTGCTAAGAATTAAGCAACGTTTCTTTAAGGAGCAACTTTCTGTGATTTTAACACAAGAAGAAGCAATTTTCCCGGAGCTATGGATTACCAAGAAAACCAAATGGAAATGAGGTAAAAGGGTGGGAATTTTACACAAGCTAAGAAATAGGGGGAATAGAACTGCTCTGCCTTCGATCTTCCTGGCAAATATACGCTCACTTGCTAACAAGATGGATGAAATACTCCTTTTAAACAGATGCAACTCTGATTTTCACAGCGCAGCTGCCTTATGCTTTATTGAAACCTGATGATATTGATGACAACAGCATGCAAATTCCAGGGTTTCAGATACATAGAGCAGACAATCGTAGAATCATCAGGTAAAAAGAACGGAGGAGGATTATGCTTATATATCGACAACAGCTGGTCTCAGGATATAACTATAATATATAAATTCTGTGATGAAAACTTAAGAGTCTTTACTTATCAATTGTAAACCATTTTACTGTCCACGCGAGTTCTCCTCATTTCTACTAATTGCTGTTTATGCCCCCCCACAAGCCTGGGTAAACAAGGCATTATGAACTCTAGCTGACCAGATTATGGAAGCTGAAGCCAAATACACCGATTCACTGGCCATTATTAGGGGAGATCTAAACAAAGCAAACTTAAGGAAAGAGCTACCAAAATACTTTCAGCATGTCAATTGTCCCACTAGAAGCAAGAATACTTTAGACCATTGCTACACAACACTAAAATAAGCTTACCGGTCTTTACCACAAGCAGCTGTGGGACCCTCTGATCATTGCATGATTTACCTTGTACCTGCTTACAGGCAAAGACTTAAAACTACAAAACCAACAAATCAGTGAAGACCTAGACTGAGGCGGCAAAGTTAAAGCTACAGGCCTGCCTTGACTGCACTGATTGGAATGTTTTCGAAAGTACCTCTGCAGACTTAGATGAACTCACAGATACTGTAACATCATATGTCAGCTTCTGTGAAGACCTACGTGTACCAACCAGGAACTTGCGAATATACAATAACAACAAACATTGGTTCACAGCTAAACTTAAGCAGTTACGTCATTCCAAAGAGGAAGCCTAAAGAAAAGGTGATAAAATGCTGTACAATCAGGCCAGAAATGTATTAACAAGGGAGAACAGAGCAGCAAAAAGAAGCTACTCTAAAAAGCTAAAGAATCAGTTCTTAACAAATAAACCGGCAAACATGGAAAACTCTTAAAAATATCACCGGTTATAGCAAACCTCCTTCCCAGGCTGAAGGAAATCAACAACTGACAGATGACATGAACGTGTTTTACTGTAGGTTTGAAAGGAAATTACAGCAACCTATCTCCACAACCCTCATCTCAGACACACTAACAACAGCCAAGC